CGCTAGCTGCAGTAGGCTGCCCTCCAACGGCGAGTCTCTGCGGAGCGGCCCTCCCGCGAGGGGGTCTGCTACCCCTCGCCGCGAGAGCAAGGCCTCTCAGCGCATGGTGAGACCTAGCGTCAGCGTGCTGCCCCCATGTGCCGAGACTCTGCGGAGCGGTCCTCCCGACAGGGGGTCCCGCTACCACTCGCGGCTCGAGCACGGCCTCCACTGTCGTCTAGGCACTGTGCGCCCGTCGCGAGAGCCAGCTGTTGCATGCTATCTCCGAGCGTCGAGTCTCTGCGGAGCGGCCTTACCATCAGGGAACCCGCTATCTCTCGCCGCTAGCGCAAGGCATGGACGTATCTGGGGGAGCCACGGGAAGGGCCTCATCTTCGAGAATTGAAAGGCGGCGGAAGGCCAGCGGAAGGCGGCGAATAAACGAGGCCGCCTCCACCGACAGAAGCCGGCGGAAGGCCGGCGGAAGCTAGCGGAGGTAAAGCATGCACCCCCAAGATATTACATGTTTTGTTGGCACCTGGTTTCCGAAATTGGCCGTCTGCTCCTCCTCTCCTCCAGCTCCACAGCCGACAGCTTTGCTGCAGCGTCAATGCACTGACGAGTGGGCAGTGGGAGCCAAAGAGTCGCTCGCCGAGGAGGCTGACGCCCTCTCGCCTGACAGGCTACCGGGCCCTCTGTTCTCTCCTCGCCTGGCTCTTTGGCCCTTCCCTTCCTGTCTTGGGGCCCAGCACCGCTCTCTCGGCCAGACCCAGGGGTGCCGAGGGTGGCGAAGCCCGTGCCGCGGCCATGGGTCAGATAACTTGCGTTCAATCTCCATCGTGGCCGTCAGGGCAAGGATCCGAGTCAGCCCCAGGGCTAGCTTCATTGGCACGCGTATGGCAATGCCCACCTCGAGTCGAAACGCATCCTGCCGAATGACAAAATCGGATGCAGGCCGTGGTATCGAAAGACCGGTGGGGCGAAGGAGGGGGAGCTCTCTGCGGGACCACGGAGCGTGGGAGGGGTATGCTGGAACGGGGGCGGGGGGGCTCATGCGAATCCTGTCACAGGAGCCTTCGGTGGAGCTCCCTGTGCGGGGTGTGCCAAGATGGGCGGGCGCATGCGAATCCTGCCACAGGAGCCTTCAGTGGAGCTTCCTGTGGGACCGCGAAACATTTAAAAGGTTTGCCGAAATGGGCGGGGGGACGCATGCAAACACTGCCACAGGAGCATTCGATGGAGCTCCTTGTGGGGCCACGAAGCGTGGGAGAGATGTACCGAAGAGGGATGGGATGAGGAACTAGTGAGACGCGGAGCGCTGTCTTCAACACGAAAGCCGCACTCCGAAGGATGCTTGGGAACAGCTCGTTCCTTCTCCTCCTCCTTCTCATCCTCCTCCTCCTCCTCCTCCTCCTCCTCCTCCTCCTCCTCCTCCTCCTCCTCCTCTTCCTTCTCATCCTCCTCCTCCTCCTCCTCTTCCTCCTCCTCCTCCTCCTCCTCCTCCTCCTCCTCCTCCTCCTCCTCCTACCCGCCCCCCTCATCCCGCGCATGCTGCATTAGCGTCGCAATCCAAAAGTCCCCACATACTCTTCTCGTGTTCCTCCCTCCTCCTCTACGACTCGGTCGTCCGCTTCCTCCTCCTCGCCCATGGGACTCCAACGGACGACATCCAAGCAGGGAGGCGTCCTCCCTCTGACGGGAAATTCGTTTCTTCCATATCGTCATTGCCCATCTTCCCACCTACCTCTTCTTCCTCCCCTGTTCCCTGTTTATGTACATATAACTGCTCACTGTCGCACCGTCAGACGTGTCGGCAGGGCGGGCTGGCGGTTCGCTTGGGACTCCCCCCGCAACTACCACCCCGAAACTTGAAATTCGCAACGACGTGGGGGCTCGTTTCCAACATGGGGCTCTTGCCTCAGCGCCGCGCTCACTCGTCCTTCGAGATTGCAGCAGCTACACGGATGGAAGAAGGTCGCTTCCAAAATTGGGGTCTTCGCCATTCAAATCCCTGGCTTCCATGCCAGACTGCAGATTCCAAGTTCCTGCTTCCGGGCCCCACCGACCGTCCACACCCACTGCTCCCAAGCCCGACTCCCCAAACAAACTCCTCCATTCCAGGCCCCGCAGCCCGTTCGAATCCATGGTTTCCAAGCCAGACTGCCCACTCAAGTTCCTGGCTTCCAGGCCCCGTCGCCCATCCGAATACCATGCTTCCAGGCCCCGCCGCCCATCCAAATTCCAAGCTTCCAGGCACCCGTGACTGTTCAAATCTCTTGCGTCCAGGCCGCCCGACGGCCATTGCAAACCCCTCGCTTCCAGGACCTGCCGCCCGTTCGAATCGCCCGCTCCCAGGCCCGACTGCCCTCTCAAACTCCTGGCTTTTAGGCCACGATGCCCGCCCATACTTCTTGTTTCATGGAGGACGACGACGTCATACTTGCCGCAGCCCGCGATGCCATCCCTCGTCGACCAAGCCCCAGGGATGCGAAGCGCGACCACCTTCACTCGAATAACTTCGCGCCTCGCTCTGACCTCGCCCAGACCGCGCAGTCCGCGATGCAAGCCCTCGCAGGCCCAGCACCTAGACTTGCGATGCGCGTCTACCTTCGCTCTGCAAGCCGTCGTAAGCTCAGACTGCACAGCGCGAGTAACATCGAGCCTCGCTCTTACATCGAACCGTGAAGCGCGAAACACTTCGCACCCTCGTGGCAGTCCCAAATAGGGAGAAGAGGGCGCGCCAACGACTGGGCCGTCGTCGAGGGCGGCGCTTTCTTCGGCGGGCTGTGAAGCGTCAGGGGCAGCTGCTGCACCGTCGCGGCCTTGCGCTCGGTGCGCTGCGGTCGCGACGCCCGCGACGATGTCGCCGACGACGGGGGGGGTGGTGAAGCGCCGGCTGCCGGCAGCGGGTGCGCGTGCGGTGCCCGAAATGCCGGAGTCCGCCGCAGGTGGAGTCGGCTCAGACTCCTCGCTGAAGGCCAACAACCGTGCCCCACATGTTTTTACCGCTAGCGATGGCCACCGGCCACTTGCAAAGCTGATAGGACCACGGCGCTGTGTGGGTATCCCTTTGCCCCAGTTAGCCATATGTACGTAAATATATACAGGGGTATATATATACACATTCACAGCCATGTATCTACACATATTTTTTAAGGAACAGAACAGCGGCGGACAGCCAAGCCTCACAGGTGAGCATTCATGGCTCGGCCCGTGAGGTGCCCGCACGAAGCCGCTGGGCGCGCGAAGGCATCGATCTGGTCACCAAGTGCACCAGCAATGTCCGCTGCGGAAGAGCACATGTGGAGTGGCGTTGGGGGTGGGGTTGCTCTGGCGGCGCATCTCATAGGGGGCGCTCGGGCGCGGCGGAAGCCCGCGCAGCGGCGCGCGCTCGGGCAAAGGCGGGGGCTGCGCCGCGGGCGGGCCGGGCGCCGGCCACAACAGCGGGCGGCGGGGGCAGGCGAGCAGCGGAAGCGGCAGACCCCAGGCCCGATGGGTTCGAAGCGCTGGCGGAGGCAGCAACTCGCGAGCACCTGCACCAGGTGAGGGCGGATTGACAATTCGGGCACTTGTCCTCGGCGTTGCCTGCGGCTGGTGTCTGGGCGCCGGCGTCGGCCGCCATCTATGCGGGGGCGACGGCAGCGCTCGAAGGCTCCGCGTTGGCGGCCGCAGCGGCGGGCGGGGGCGGCTCGGGCGCAGCAAAGCCCCGTGCCTCTGCTAGGGTAGCGGCCCTGCGAATTTCCGCAACAGGAATGCCGGCGTCGATGTCCATGCTGCGCTGTGTGCTGGCGGTCAGCTCGCATATGCCATGCTCAGGGGAAGGCTCGTCATCCTCTCTGCGATTGCGAACATGGGTCCCCGCGCCGTCGCCAACCTCGACAAACGTGTTGCGCACCATGATGTGGAGCGTCCGTCGTGGGCTCCGGCTGGTCGGCGCTTACGTAGGGAAGGCGGGCCTAAGGACAGCTCGCAAAATCAGGATGGCTTGTCCGCAAACTGCAAGCCAAGAGGGCAGAACGCCATACCATACCTGGCTGAGAAGGCAAATCGCCCACACTGTGGTCGTGATGCAGATTGGTCTGGTGAAGAGGATTTGCGCCGGCAGGGAAGCGGCGGACGCGTTCGCAAGAGCACGTTGCTCGGAAGGCCGTGCACGGCGCCACCGAGCGACAGAATTCGCAGAGGCGTGGGCGGAAAACCGGCCACAGCGAGCAAGATGCATGGGAAGGTTGGCGCGGCAAGCGGGGCCGAAGACCAAGTGCAACATCTGCGTGAGCATGGCGTGGGTCAGCATTCGCATCGCGTTAGGGAGAGCGAGAAGAGCTCGTCTGGAAGTAAGCAGAGGAGCGGATCCTCTGGAGACGGGAAAAGCGGAATGTCGAAGACGCCGTGACTGCACAACTTCACACGTGGTGGACCTAGTGCAACTCAGCCCGCCCAGCGAAGCGAGTGGACGGGTGAGCCTGGAGAGTCCGTCCATGTTGAACGCCTTCGAGGTCCATGCTGCACTGTTCGTTCGTGCAGTGCTTGATGGATTCATGCCGCCGTCCTCCGAGAGCGTCCCGCGCATGTCGTGGGCGTTACCGTCGGAGTCAACATAGCTGCTGCTGGCGATCGCCGTGCGACTCAGAACCGTCGTGCTTAGCGTCGTGCTGGTAGCCTCCAACACGCTGGTCAATGGCGAGGGGCCAGTCACGATCATGGTGCCGTTGGTTCCCGTCGTGCAACCATCGTCATCATCATAATCTGCATACTCGTCCTCATTCTCGTCAACATCCACATATTCGTGGTCGTCATCATCACCGTCATCGTCAGCAGAATCACCGTCATCGTACTCGTCATCATGATGACGGCACTGACCATCATCAGCATGATCATCACCACCCTCACCACCTTCACCGCACACGCCTCATCGCCACCACCACCATCGTCATCGTCACAGTCGTCTGCTCGCGCACCCTGCCGCAGTCATATCCTGACCAGTCCTCCTCCCCCCTCGGCGGCGTCGCTGCCGCGGGTGCCTCTTGCCGGCGGCCGTCCTGGGGCGGGCGGCGCCAGGGGAAGCTGTTTTGGGACGGGCAAAACGGGCGGCAGGCGCGATCGCCGACGCCCGGGGCAGAGCCCCCCCTGCGTCGGGCACCCACCTTGGAGAGCTGCGCGATGCCAGGGGGCGGAGGGCGCTGCGGAAACAAGTGCTTGGGGGAGGGGGAGGGGGGGGCAGCAAGCGGGCGAGGAGGAGCCGCGCGGCGGGGCCCGCGGCTCGCAGGGAGACAAGCGGGCACGTGTTGGCCGCGTGCATCAGCGAGTGTGGCGACAGGGGCGGCCTTCGTACGGCAGGTTCTGGTCGTGTCGACCAGCGGCGACCCAACCGCCGGCGTTTAACGTTGAACGCCGCCAGCGACCCAGAATCGATCGATGCTGAAGGATCTGACGCTTCTGAAACGGCCGATCCTTCAAGGTCGAACGACCCCCGCGGTGTCAGGAACCAACGCCAAGGTCGGCACAGCACGAACCTGCGGTGCAGGACGAGTGTGTGAGTGTGTGGGGGGGGGGGGGCAGGCCTCCAGCAGTGAACAAAAGGCAACGATTGTGCACGGGGGGCGTCCAAGAGGGGAGCGTCCAAGAGGGGGGGGGGGGGGGCGCAAATACAGGCTGGCGGCATGTGCGCGGCCCAGGGGGGACGGCCCGGGACGCATGAAAATACGAAGAGGCGCCACGGTATCCAGGGCGATATCATGGCCACCGCCATGAGATCCCCCCCCCCCTCTAGTCGTCACCCCTTGTTTGGCGGCCCCCGACTGTAGCTGCGCTGCCGTCTTGGGCCGCTGCGTGCCCTCGCCAGGCCTGGGGGCCGTCAGAGCACGCTTCAGAATGGAGAGGCGGCCCTGGGGAAGAGGTCCGGAGTTCTCGAGCACGGGACCGACTGCAGAATCGATCTACCCCCAAGTGGACTCTTCTCGTCGAATGCATGGGAAATGCGTAGACCGTTGGGAGATCTGCGCAGACGATACGTATGTGTCTATAGAATCGGCGACAAACCTAATCTTGGGGTACACCAGTTCTATAGTCGATCCCCTACTCAAGTTCGAGGGGCCCTGGTAGCAGGGTCGGTGCTTCGCCGACGGGCTCGGATGCTTCTGAGATGGCCGCTCAGAGGCGGGCGGGCCTCCGAACTCTCAGAGAGCAACCGCCCTTGCCCCCGGCCCCCTCCGGCGCGCCGCCGACCTGCGGGTGGGCCCTCCGAGCAGGGCCGGGGAGACGATCGGGCTCGCGCGGAGCAACCCCAAGCACGGCACGAGCAGAAGCCTCTGAAGGCCTGCGCGGATTTCTGGGATCTGCGCTGGACCCCCCCGCTCTGGCGCGCGAGGCGCGCCAGGGGCGGCGCCGCAGGCGCCGCCAGGGAGGGGGGGGCCAGCGCAGATCCCAGAACTCCGCGCAGGCCGTCAGAGGCTGCTGCTCGTGCCGTTTATTTCATCTTTTGGGCGTGGCTTAATGGGGGGGTCACAAATTGGGGGGTCAGAAAAGGTCCCCTTTCGTGCCCCTTTCGGGCCCCTCCAGAGTCCCAGGGGGCTCGTTTAGGTACCGTTTGGGTACCTTTTCGGGCCACCCTCGCCGCCCCCCCATTTATGACCCCCCCATTACGCGGCGCCCAAATCTTTGAATGTGGACGGGCTCCGGAACGGGCTTTGCCACTGGGGGGGGTCGAGAGGCTGACCTCTCTGCCGCTGCAGAGGTTGGCCGAGCGCTGGCGAGGGTAAAGCGAGGGCGGCCCCCTCGACGGAAGGCCAGAGGCAGAGCCTCAAGACCTCCAAGACCTCCAAGACCTCCAAGACCTCAAGACCTCCAAGACCTCCAAGACCTCCAAGACCTCAAGACCTCAAGACCTCCAAAACCTCCAAGACCTCAAGACCTCAAGACCCCCAAGACCTCCAAGACCTCAAGACCTCCAAGACCCCCAAGACCTCCAGAGCCTGACGTAGCAGGGGGTAGTGCGTCCAAAAAAAAGGAGGCAGAGCCTCCCCCAGAGATGCTGATGCGTGTGGCCTCAGAGGCCCTTCGAGCGGGCCCTGTGGGCGGGCCCTCCGTGCCAGGCGTCGTGCAGAGCCCGCGAAGGTTGGTGTTGCCAATCGCGATCTGGCCGTCTAGAACTGCCGCAGGGCTAGTAGGGCGAGAGCCCCAGTCGTGGTCAAGTAGCATCGTATCCAGAATTGGGGTCGTACTGGGCTCATTCGGCAGTGCCTCAAACGGACTTGGCCTGCAGAACCTCCTGTGTCGACATGGTTCCCCGATTGGCCCTGACTCCGTGGAGCACCAAGGTAATTAACAAAAGCAACACAATAAACAAACAAACAAAGAAACAAGCAAACAAAGAAACAAGCAAACACACGGACCCGAAAAGCGTTCGACACGCAGGTAATCCCACCAGCCCTTTGGGCGTGAGTGGTTTAGCGAGCTCTCTCTGTTCTCAACCCCCTAACCCCCTATCTTCCCCTTCGGGGACCTCCCCCTACCCCCTCCCCTGGACCTGGAGAGGGCGGACCGAGTGGGACCAAGGGGGACTTTTTCGACTCCTGGGAGGGCCAAAAAACGACGACCCTCACGAGGATTCTGGTCTCGAGGGGGGGAGACCGTTTGGCGCCTCCACTCGTCTTCCAAGCCAAAAGCATTGATTTTACTACGGTTTTGACCCCATTTTGTCCTTCGGAGGGGGCCGCGCTCATCGTCCTTCATAGCAAAATTATTGATGTTACGAAGGTTTTGGTGTCGTTTTCTCCTTCTCAGGGGGCAGCGCTCATTTCTGCTTCTGAGGACGTCGTAAGAGGCCCCAAGATGGCCCCAAGAGGCCCCCAGGAGGCTCCCTAGAGGCCTCCAAGAGGCCCCCAAGAGACTCCCAAGAGGCCACAAGAGGTCACCAAGAGGCTCCCAAGAGGCCCCCATGAGGCCCCAAGAAGCTCCAAGAGGCTCCCCAGAGGCCCCCAAGAGGCCCCCCAGAGACGCCCAAGAGGCCCCGAGAGGCTCCAAGAGGTTCCCAAGAGGCCCCCCGAGGAGCCTGAACGACTCACACCAGGACGTGGGGCCCCAACGACTCACACCACGAAGAGCCCGAACGACGGCCAGCGCTCATTTGCGCTTCTGAGGAGGTCGCAAGAGGCCCCAAGAGGTCCCCAAGAGGCTCCCAGGAGGCTCCCAAGAGGCCTCCAAGAGGCCCCCAAGAGGCCCCCAAGAGGCCCCAAGAGGTCCCCAAGAGGCTCCCAAGAGGCCCCCAAGAGGCCCCCAAGAGGCCCCAAGAGGCCCCCAAGAGGCCCCCAAGAGGCCTCCAAGAGGCCTCCAAGAGGCCCCAAGAGGCTCCAAGAGGCCCCCAAGAGGCCCCACGAGGAGCCCGAACGACTCACACCAGGACGAGAAGCCCGAACGACTCACACCAGGAAGAGCCCGAACGACTCACACCACAAGGAGGGGCCCTAACGACTCACACCAGGACGAGGCGCCCGAACGACTCACACCACGAGGAGCCCGAACGACTCACACCACGACGCGGGCCCCGAACGACTCACACCACGAGGAGCCCGAACGAGTCACACCAGGAGGAGGGGCCCGAACGACTCACACCAGGATGAGGGGCCCGAACAACTCACACCACGAGAAGCCCGAACGACTCACACCAGGACGAAGAGCCCGAACGACTCACACCACGAAGAGCCCGAACGACTCACACCAGGAAGAAGGGCCCGAACGACTCACACCAGGACGAGAAACCCCAAACGACTCAAATCACGAGGAGCGCTTTCTCTCCCTCCTCCTCCGCCTCGTCCTTCTCCCGCTCCCCCCACAAGGAGGATGTACAAGGAGGCGGGAGGAAGGAGGAACAGGGGAGATATGCGGGGCCAAGCGGACACACGCCTGAAAAACACGACTGTCGGCATGCTTCGCAAGAGTTGCTGCTGTGAGATGGGCTGGTGGGGATACGCGAAGCGTAAAGAATTAACAAAAGCAACACAATAAACAAACAAACAAAGAAACAAACAAACAAAGAAACAAGCAAACACACGGACCCGAAAAGCGTTCGACACGCAGGATGGGGCATCAGGGGACCGAGGCCGAGGACCAGGGATCAGAGGGCGAAACGACGAGAGGGCATCTTGGGCATCCTGCCAGTGGCTTGGGCAGGCTTTCGGCAGAATCTATGCTCATCCCTCTCCTCCCCAGAAGCCCGACGTGCTGATTACGTCCTTCAATACTTACCGAGTCCATCCCGCCACATGCCCCCTGCAGCCACTGCCCCGAGCGACGACGGAAGCGAGGGAACGAAGGAAGAGGGAGGAGCGAGCGAGGGCGAAAGGAGGAGGAGGAGCGAGGCAGCAAGGGAGGGAGCGAGGGAGGGGGAGGGGGAGGAGATTGATGCTCGGAAGGAGGAAGCAGAGGCCGATCAGGCAGAAGCGGGCGGGGCAGGATCCGCACAAAGGGGGCAGGGAGCCATGGCGCACCGCCGGAGTGGAAGCCTCCTCGCGAGCTCCAATTCACGCGATTTATTAGGTTTCGTGCGATGGCCATGAGAGGAGGAGGAGGAGGAGGAGGAGGAGGAGGAGGAGGAGGAGGAGGAGGAGGAGGAGGAGGAGGAGGAGGAGGAGGAGAGGGAGGAGGAGGAGAGGAGGATGGAGGAGGAGGAGGAGGAGGAGGAGGAGGAGGAGGAGGAGGAGGAGGAGGAGGAGGAGGAGGAGGAGGAGGAGGAGGAGGAGGAGGAGGAGGAGGAGGAGGAGAGAAGAGGGCGCTCCCCCACCCCCGCCCCCCGACGACAACGGGGCGGCGCCAGGGGGGCGCCGGTCCCGGCAGGCTCGCGGGGCTCCGCCGCCGGCGAGGCGACCGCGAGGGGCTCGTCGGCAGCCGCGGGGGGCGGTCGGAGGGGCGCCGCGTCCTGCGCGTCGTCGTCGGCGGCGTCGCTGGTCGTCGTCGCCGTCGTCCACGAGTAGGGAGCCCACAAAGGACGTACGCGCCCAGCTATGTACATGAACACGGCCCCTCGATCCGCGAGACCGGCCGCGTTATACGGACATTTGCGCAATGCGTACTCTCGAAACCAGCGTGGATTCATGTACATGTACGTCCTTCTTTCGCTCCTGAACGAGACAGCCGGACTGACGCTGTCCAAATGACACAAACACGTGGGGGCGAAGAATGCTTCGAGGGATCCACACCGAAACCCCGACGGTGCTGGCGCCGACTGGAGTGGTACGAGCAGAGAGGCAGCAGAGGAAGCAGAGGACACGGCGGGGGATGGAAGCAGATGTTGGCAGATGGAGAGCCTTTGCCCGATTGGTTCCCCATTCCCGCTCTGGCCCTGTCCACCTCTTCCCTCCTCCCTTTCCTCCTCTTCCTGGTCCGCGTCATCTCCTCCCGGGGGCGGCGCTCTCCTCCCTGCGGCAGCTTGAGCCGCCGGGCAATGTGGACTGGGAATCGCGACGCCTCGACGCGCCGCATGGGCGGGAAGACCAAACTGACAACCTCAACCGGCCTAGTGGCTGACCGAATCTGCCAGGCTGACGACCTCAACCCATCGGGTGGCGAACCACATTTAACATGTCACGTTCGCCTTGCATCATCTACTTGCTATCATGGCTGGTCGCTTTCGTCTGTCATGGTTCTGTCATGCCCGTTCGCTTTCTCCTGTCATGGTCCTATCCTGGTCTTCATGTATGTTTTCATTCGTCAGAGAAATGTTGGAAAGGAAACTCTGCAGCAGGGCGCAGCAAGCAGAATATAATTACGCAGCACACAGCAATTCCAAGTAAAAGTGAGGGGGCGGGCGGGTTGGTCGATGGAAAGGTCGCGTGGGTGGGTCACGGGTAAATCGCGGGTGGGTCGCGGGTGGGTCACGGGCGAGGACGACAACAACAACAACGACGACAACAGACACCCAAACAAACAAACACACAAGCAAACACACAAACGCAAACAACCGAACAAACAAACAAACAACCTAACAACAACAGCAATCATGTTAAGACGGTTCGTTCCCATCAGCCCGAATGTCATTCAACACGAGAATTCCAAATCATCGGTACACGCCCTCTTCGTCTTCGGTCGTGCTACCCTTGGGGGTATATTTTCCTGACCTGTCACGTGTAGATGGTGCAGCCCCTAACACAGGAGAAGCGAGGGAGGAGAGAAGGGACAATGAAGAGGTAAAAGGATTGCGCACGACAGAAATAAGTAGGAGAGGGGGTTAGGAGAAGGGAAACAAGCGGCACATCCAGACGGGCGGGTCGGGCGGGCGGATCCTGACTGGCGGGTCAGGCGGGCGAGCCCAGACGGCGGAGTCGAGCGGGCGGGTCGCTAAAGCGTCAGTCCTGCACCATTCGCGAGACATGTCGCGATTTGCTCGTAAGACTTAAGGAAGTCCAAGGGGTGCGTGTGATTCCTGAATGTCGAGGGCGCGGCGTCTCAATACATTGAACAGAGATGCCACGCGAGATCGCGATTCCTACATACGTTGCGAGGACATCCCACGTGAAAACGCGATTTTGGTTAATTTGAGAAGAAGTATAAGGCGGGAGCCGCTGGTGTTGTAAACCAAGGGCCTACGGCGCGGTCTGGCGCGCAGAATTTCCCCGTGTAGAACAACAGGGTGCGATTTCTCCGGAGGAGCACGTCAATTGGAAAACACAAGGTGCATCGGAGGGTGGATCAACAATGACTATGTTTCCGAAACGAGAACTCAACAACAACACTAGCAACAACAACAACAACAACAACAACAACAACAATAACGACTACAGTAACAACAACACACACAACAACACAACACAACAACAGCAGCAACAACAACAGCAACACTAACAATAACAACAACACGCACCACCACCACAAACAACAACAACAACAACAACAACACCAACAACAACAACAACAACAACAACGGCAACAACAACAACATCAGCAACACTAACAACAAAAACAGCAACAACAACGACGACAACAACAACAATCACAAACGTCACAACAAAAAACAACAAACAACACCAATCAGTCTAGGAATGTTCGCTCTTACTGGCACGCGTGTCTTGCATTCTGCGTACCCGAACCCTCGATACACACCCACTTCGTCCTCGATCGCACCCCCTTTTGGGGGGAATCTCTTCCTTGTCGGCCCTTGACTGGAGGGCGAGGAACTCTCGAGCGAGAGCGCCGTTCCTGAATTCGGGGGCCTCTCTAGACAAGGGCTCTCGGAACACATATTGAGAAATATCGAACGGACAACCTCGTCGCCGTGTTTGGGCCTCCGCCAACTTGCCTGAACTACGAGAAAAACTCGAGCGAGAGCGCCACTCTTGAGTTCGGGGGCCTCTCTGGCAAGGGACTCTGCGAACACATCTTGAGGAAGTATCGAACGAACGCCCTTGTCGTCGTAGTTGGGCCTCCACCGATTTGACTGGATCACGAGAACGCCTCGAGCGAGAACGCCGTTCCTGAGTTTGGGGGCCTTCCTGGCCACGGACTCTCGGAGAAAATCTTAAGTATCGAGC